CCAAATAATAGAAAAGTATCGATAGTGGTATCGATAAAGACTCGGATCGATAAGGAGTATCGATAAAGGTATCGATATCAATAAATATTAACGATCCCCATCCCTACTAAATACTGCTCAACTTGCCTGCATTTCGGAGTCTCTCTTTGTACTGCTGGTCCAGCTTCTTCATCCTCTTCTGATACTCCTGCAGTGTACCTGCAAAGATAAAGTGGCATTCGGCCAAATGTGAAAAGCTACAGAATCACATCTTTTGCTATAAGAATTTAAAGGGTGTTATCAAAGTGTGACTGTTTATGTGGCGTGAGACAAAGTCAATTGTTAAGTTATTAAACCTCCAATACAAGTTATTTAATTAAAATGCATCATTAATATTTGTAGACAACTCACAGGTACATTTTGGCATCGTAGATCTGCTCCTCTCATCACCCACCCACAGTCTGGACTAGATTACACTGACATTGCACCTTAATTTGGATTTACAAAGAGCCCACAGCATGTCACCCCACAATCTCTACACTCCACATCAGCCTGAACAATAAAGAGCTCATGGGACAGCTGATGCTGCTACAGCACGGCCAGCTGTTCAGAAACTGTATCAGTAAACAGCAGACAGGTTTGACGATTCAAAATGAGCATTTTATGGCTTTAGACTGTTTGTTAGCAGTCATCATCACAGTGGCTGCACTTTTAAACTTCATCTGAAGCTGCCTTCATGGCCTGATTATGATGTAATCCCTGAACACCAGAATGAGCAACCAGTCAGGATCTGGCTGTGTCCTGTATCCCCACGCTCACACTAATCCAAAGCAACAATAAAAGTCATTCACACACAAATATTCCTGACACACTTCAGTCTTATGGAAAAAGAAAGTAATTACCTTCTTGTAATTGCTGCAACTGTCTTTTCAGAGAGGCCAGTTTGTCTTGGTACATTCTGCAATGAAATGATCCAGAGCTATTGTCACATTTGCTTTCACCGTGTGCAGCGTGAGGGCAAACATTCAAAAACCTTCAAATGATTTCTATTCAGGTCAAAACAGCTCAGCCAAGGTTGGCAAAACACTTACTGCTCTTTGATTTCAACATAGTCATCCTCATCGTGCTTGGCAAGATCTGTTTCACTGGCATCTTCCGTGTCTGGAAAAGGGCAAACAAGGAGAAGAAGAAGAGACACAGATTTCAAAACTCTCTCTCAACTAAAACACTCTAAGTAAGATATTCAGCATGTTGTAAACGAGATAATTATGTAGTGTCCCCAGAGAGTGGAGATCTGTGCAGATCAAAGGACGTGCGTGGCACTGGTAAGGTAATGGTGAACACCCTGTTTGGGAATGCCCTCCGGTTGGTTAGATTAGGAAACCAGGAAAAAAATCCAAGTCTGCCAGATTCATTCACTTACATATCCTCGCATCGGCAGCAGGGAAAAGTTCAGCTAGAACAACCTAACACTTGTATCCAATAAGATCAATATAACGACCAGTAGAAGTGTAGCTGTTACTTTGAGTGTCCAGAATTTGCCGCATGGTAGGATTAATCAGAAACGCTCCCCGGCTAACTTCGTGCTGTCAGTCCTACGGCAACTCTCTCAAGACAAAGCTAACATGTTCAGGCTAGTGCGATGTGGCAAACTTGGGAGCCAAGTTTCTAAGCGCCGGCTGACCGAGCTGTTACCTCCAGAACCAGACACAAGAGGGTAAGGCCCGGTCGTGTTGAGCTGACACAGCAGCTTTCATTTTCGGTTAGCATTAATGTGCTAGCTTAAGTTAGCTAGTCCACAGTTTGAAGAGTAACCCGATTGTAGCTCTCGTAGTTAGGCGCAACACAGCCGACAACACATCCGGAGCAGGAGAAAAGAAGTCCGGCTCTTCGCTTGGAAGTCAAAGCCAGGAAACTAGCTAACCTTTTAGTGCTGTCATCGCCTTGCTTTCCTCTCGTCTTTCTTTCTGTTCCCCAGCACTCCGTCCTGTGTCAGTGAGCAGTGTGAAGAGGGCAGTGCAGTGGACACAGCACGCAGGTTTCTGCTGCTGCTGCTGCTGCCGACCTGTCACTGCTCGAAGCTAACGTTACGTAGCTAGCGGGCTAATTGGCTCTGTGTGGGATATAATTTATTAAAACGGTGTTTAGTCCTGGTGGACTGGACACTGCCTAAAGTCGTCTTAAGTTACAGTTCAGTAGGTTTTGTTGGGAAGGGTTTGTTGCAGAGTAACGTAAAGCAGGTTACAGCCGGTTGATGCCTCTCGCGTAACGTTAGTATCGAAACGCCAGCTCGTCGGCATGTAAACAAAGCCCGGGATTATTTCTAATATAATCCTTGTTGGTGGGTTAAATATTTTACCAGCGCAGGAAACGTTCACCCGGTATAAGCGATTTAACTCGTTCACATCACCTGCTTCTGAAATGTTTCTTGTCTGGGCAGAAACTCGTTTGGCGGTTAACTTCCTGTGCAGCTAGCAGTGGACTGCCTGCCTGCAGCGCTGAGAACAACCCGTAACAATGGACGTAGAGAGGGCTAAACAGGTGCATCCGAGGCGCGAAAACAGCTCCCACTAGAGCTTCATCTGTAGACAACTTTAAATAATCATATCAAAAAAATTCAAGTAATAAACTTCTGCAATTATCGCGCGTTTCCGTCTGTTTTCCAACAAGTAGACCGAGCCGGAGCTTGTGGTCAGTCCGTGTTAACGTTACCTTCTTCTGAGTCTCTGCCCCTGAAACTGCGATCGTCGTCGTCGTCCACGCTGTCGAGTTCTTCTTCGTCGTTGTAATAATCCACCATGGGTGATAGCAAAGTCGAAGCCATTTGTTCGCTTGCAAAATGTAAACAAACACAAAATAAACAATCGATTTGTGTTTTGCAGCTTGCTTGGAACAGCGCCTACAACTGGCAGGACCTCGGAGTATCAAGCTGTCTGACCTTATGCCTGTATACAATGTCTGTAATATTAACGTTTAATGTGGGAAAAACAACATGGTTAATCTGATCTTTCAAAAAGATGAAATCAGGGATTTAAGATGCGTAATACCCGGCAATAATCGGTGTGTTTTATATATGCGCATTTCAATTTACGGTAAAACATGTAAACTGGCATATTTCCGGACACCAGGGGCTGTGGGGTCTCTTTGTTTTGGCTCGCTATCCGTTCAGTTTTTCTACAGGGATCTTTGAAGATTAATGGTGCTCAGTTAGTGAAATCCTGTGGTTTTCAATAAAGCTCCACTGCTGAAGATGTATTCCTACCAACTTTGTGTTTCCAGTAGTTAACTCTATCACAGAAAGTATTATATAATATATTATTATAACTATTAGTCACCAAAACAACCGTACATACATTTTCTTCCCACCACATATATTTATATATGTCATGTTACTGCTTTTTAATTATGTTACATCCAATATTGTGTTTTGAAGGCTGTTTCAAAGCCTTACCTCACTGCCTGGAACACTGCACACTACTAGATATTTATTTTGATTAAATGATTTATAATTATTTGTTTATCCATCCATCTATTTATTTCGAAATACACTAAAATAGTAACATTTGAGTGTAACAGTATCAGATTCAGCAATAAAACCCTACCGTGCGTATATGTGTGTGTGTAATTGTAGAATGCAAACTTTTCATTAAGTGACTCTCTCTCGTGTTACCAGAAATGACCTCTGTCC